TAAGTTATTAAGTTATTAAGTTAAGTTATTAAGCGTTGTTATAGCGTTTGTTTTAGCGCGATTGTTGAAATTAAGTGTATCGTAAAGTTATATTCGGAAAGAATAAACCAGTTTTATTAAGTAAGGACTTGTGTCGCTAAAGTTTCGTCGGAACGAAGTTACGGAAAGTTAATTAACAAACGGAGACGTAACAATATTCTAACTTTACATCCAAACTATGTTATTGTTAATAGCTCTAATTCCACATAAACTTGGCTATTTATATAGTTTAACACTTACTAGAAATTTGTTATCAGCACCGTCCCAGCATTCTCACCTTGCAGCTCTGCATAATTACCTCCGCCGCCGAAGGTGACAGAGGTTATAATTGCACCTCTGTGTGTGTGTGTGTTTGTCAGTAGGATTTTTCTAAAACGGCTCAATGAATTTGGACGAAATCTGGTATAAATTTGGACTACGACACAACTTACAAGTAATTAGTTTTTGATGGTCAAGGTCACAGCAAACTCCCAAAATCTCTATTTGTTAACATAGAGAGCAATTTTTTACACTATTTTTTGCTCTATAACTCAATAAAAAATGATCAGATTTTGGTGAAACTTGGTGGACATATATATATTGTTACGCCTCCAGTCGTTAGTTAATTTTCCGTAACTTCGTTCCAACCAAACTTTAGCGACACAAGTCCTTTCTTAAATAAAACTGGTTTATTCTTTCTGAATATAACTTTACGATACACTTAATTTCAACAGTCGCTCTATAACAAACGCTCACGTCTCACGTGGCCAAAAATATTTTATCCGCATACATTCAATTACTCATTGCACTGTCTGCAGTTCAATTACTCACTATTTACACATTGTCCCGTCACGTTGTGACCATCTTATATATACCAGGCTACCCCAATCTAGTAATCTCCCGACAATTCACGAAGGTTCGAGAAAGAAGTGGCGTGATACTAGTCACGTGACCTCGCTGACGCAACAATATACAATTTTATTCGTCATTGTCCTGCGAAAAATTGTCCGTGTCTGTTGATAATGGAGGACATACGTATATATTTTCGTATTTTTTGAGAGGTGAAAATGATTAACGCTGCGTGGCAGAGGTTTGCGCTCTACTGAATGCCCCTCTGTTTTTTTTTGTTACCACACGTACTTGAAATAATAATCAAATAATATTTACCTAGGAAAATTATGTAGCATAAAATAAAAAACAACACTTCTACTGTTCATTTACCTCCCCACTTGTAGAAATATACATAAAAACTTTCGTTTTGTTCATCTTTTGCACTAATAAGGGCAGAGAATGGTTCGGGTGTGGACTATAGCATAACTCTGAATTTTGTAGCAGACGAGTCAGGTTCGAACTCATGTAATATCACAAAATGTTCCTCGTGGGTTTAAGATATGGTTGCATTAAAAAGGTGACAATTTATCCCTTAGTATGGGTAATAGAGTGATACTGACTGATTGCCTGCCCTCTGATCATGAGTTATAATTAAGTTAGGGACGGCGACATAAATCCGAATACAATAAAAAGGCAATAACATAAAATATGAGGTGTTTTAGGTTCATTATACAGGAGTATTGAAGAACGTTCATTTTTGAAAAACATTATTATTTGTTTACTAAAGGGATTTGTGATTATAATTTGTTGATTTAAAGCTAAAAGTCTAATTCTGAAAAATAACTATTTAATTTAAACATTTTCATTCATATGAAAATTCTTTTGAAAATAAGTGACTGAAATTGAGGAAATTGTTCTGAATATTCGTCATACGAATTTTATAGCTCCCCAAAAATGAGTTCAAAATTATATTTATTTATGTAACTATTGGATTCAAGGTTTTAACAAAAAATTGTATTTATAAGTTTGTTATTTAAATTTGTGAATCAATGTATTTCGCATCTTGAGTCTGAGAATAGCTATTGATTTAATAAAATAAGAAAATAGATTTTACGTTAAATGAGTCAGTTTTCTTTGTATCATTAGTTTCTTTTGAAGTTTATATCTTGCAGATTTATATTCAATATGCTATCAATGGTGGTTCGAAGGTGTACATGAAGTGAACTAATATAAGTAAACAAAGTCAGCTGATCTTTCTGATTTGTTCGTTTACTTAAAGATATGTCTTTCGAAAGCAGTTAAGAGTGTAGGTCATTCACCAGTGGTTGTTAAATAGCAGCGAATAGCTTAACGACGTTATTTACGAAAACAAAAACTGTAGTAATACTAGTAACTTAGTAAGTATTTTATTGTTTATGTTTTGCTAAGGCTTTAGTGTGCATTATTTTGAATCAATAAATAATTTTAAATAATAGTAATAAAGTTTAGCTTTAACTTTGACTTAAGAAAAATGTAATTGACATTGAACATTTAAAAATTTGTTTAAATTAGTGTTACTGTTAGTAACAAATTAATGCTAACCGCAAGTTATTTCTTACGTCGCTCTAGTCCTTGTACTATCTCTATCAGCCCTATTACTCACTACTATTACTAAGCACAAGTATAACTAGTTATGTACAACCGTAGGCCTGAACTCTAACTTGAATCTGAAATAAATTGCCACATAATTGATTAAATAAGCAATAAGAAATATTACACACTTTGCGTAATCTTTAAATTCAATATAAAATATTACAAATCATTGATGTTGTTTTTTATTTCAACAGTTCAAGCTCTTTGAAGCATTACTGATTAGCTTCCTTATCTTGCTTTAACTTAAGTTAACTAGCATTAGATTTAGTAGCAATAGCATGTAGCTTTGGCTTTCTATTGAAACAGTATATACTTTATTAGATGTAACATCACTTTATTAATCTTTCCAAAAATTTAAAAAAGTTTCTTCTGATAACATAAATAGTTAGTAATATCATTCTTATTCTCTAATTTTGAAAATGATTAATGGTAGTTCATTTGAACAGTCAAATATTGGTATGTATGTAATATACATATATCACTCTTCTTGTGGTGACAAAATGACATACGTAGAATGTACATGTGGATGAAAAAATGTTGTTGTTTTTCAAAATAAGAACATATAAAATTATAAATGCACTTCTTTCTTGGTGGCTGTTGTGCATCTAAGAACATTTATTCAACTTGGCTTCCTAGTTTGTCATTTTTTCTGGTGGTGTTTTGTTGTACATTCCATTCTTGCATAAGCTGATAAAGCGTGATCTAAATAATCTGAACAGGTTTTTTCCATTGCTTTTTGTCATTTATTACAGACATTATTTTTGTAAACTATATTTTCAATTTCTTAATTTATCTCTTAGCTGGAGGATGCATGAGGTTAAGATCTAGTAAATTTGACTAAGGTTTAGATGGGAACGTCAGTTATAAATACAAGTAAGCAGTTAATAGCAAGCCAGTCAGTTTTTAGTGGGTAGAGTGCTAGTCATTCAGTTAAGTATTTGGATCAGTATTAGTTATCACATATATTCAGTTACTCAGTTGGTTTGCCATGGAATTTTAAAAGTTTATCTGTATGCTAGTAATAATAAAATTAATGAGTAAACTTCTATTGAAAGAGAAAATGCTTTGTAAAATTATTTTTCTAGGCCTACAAGTACAACTGTGTACAAATGATAATAGCCTGTAGGTTAAGGAAGAAATAAACTAATTTTCAGTGCCCCCTTTTGCCGCCCCCTGCAGATGCCAATGTTCATAATATTTTGTGTATAGTTCCAGAGGATAATTTTCAAATTTAAGATTATGAAAATATTTCAGAATTATCAGCTGACTAAAATGGCAAATAGGTGTTAAGAATATATACATATATGTGTACTTGTATAAGTGATGTATCTTAATCATAGATCATACATGCACATGTAACTACTGTTAACAATTAATAACAGCCCCACAGCTATTGTATGTAATGACTTTGAATAAGATAAATTCAGATGAAACACATTGGTCAGAATTATCTTATATTGTTACTTACAGAAATATTTTATGTATGATTAAAACATCCAGATAGGCTAAGTTTGTGGAAGTAGGTAGAATTTCGGACTAAAATGTGTGTGAGGAGGAGGAAAATGTGACTTAATTATTGTGAATGTCATGTGTATAACTATATCCTGTGTGAAAAAGTTGGTGGTGGGACAACTATGTTTGGGGATATAGGGGTGACTGGTGAACCATATAAAAGGTAAAAAATAACATGGTTCAAACAAGAAACTCGTTACAGGATTTTTAGGCACAAAGATAGACATTTTCACAGCAGCACTAGATGTAATTCTATATGTAATGGTTGGAGACGGCTTGAATGGGTAATGAAGAAAAACTTTAATATAAGTTTAACATAACAGCAAATGTACAATGTTTCGACAAGGTTTTGTCATCATCATATTCTATATTTGAATCTAACTGGTGCTGCTTTCCATTGTTATGATATGTGTAAGATCTCTCTTGCTGTTTAATCTTTAATCTTAATGCTTATAAAAGTTGTACAGTCTCGCATAAGATCAATGTACATTTAATTCCATTCTGTACAATAGTTAATTAAATACATCCATTTTCAGTGTTTTTTGTGCGTATGTGCTTGCGTATTGCTAACTTGTGGCTCAGGATAACATTTTGCACAGTTTCAGACAAATACCTATTAGACAGTTAACTTATACAAACAATAGTAATAATAATAATAATATTACATATACTTTTTATTAGAGAAACTTTGTCTAATAAGATAATTTTTCAGAATATGACTTAGAGCTAGGTAATAATGTATGAAAGTGTAATAGTGATTGTACAAAGTCTTGTTTTTTTTCAAAGGTGTGATAGTGAAGAAAAAATGTTGCGTAAGAGAATTGGTGAAAAGAATAACTTGAACACAGACAACTTAGAGGAACTTAGTAAATCCAAACTTAAGCAAGAGGAACAATCCAAGTCTTATAAGAAGAAGTCACTGAAAAAAGTTATTATTGTATTATGCTCTTTTGGTTTTATCTTGTATGTTGTGTTACCATTGTGGTTTATTTCTTCACCTTGGTTACGAGGTCACATAATATTTCTCACCTATATCAGTTGGCCACCTTTTCTGAACCTGACAGTACCAGAAAAATTTGGTCTGACATGTGCCAGAAATTTTTACATTGAATCAGAACCTGGTATAAATCTTGGTGTGTGGCACATTCTTCCTAAGAGTAGATGGGATGGTTGTCAAAAGGAAAGCTTTAATTGGGAAAAAGAGTTTGATGATCAAAGGCCAGTAATATTATATCTTCATGGTAACTCAGGTTCACGAGGTGGCTCGCATAGAGTTGAATTGTATCGAGTTATGTCTGAAAGTAAAGTTGATGCACATGTTGTTGTCTTTGATTATCGTGGTTATGGAGACTCCACTCTTATAGATCCAACCATTGCAGGTGTTGTCCAGGATGCTAAAGTGATGTATAACTGGTTAAAAAAAAGAGTAGATAAGTCTAGAATTTTTATATGGGGACATTCTCTTGGAACTGGGGTGACAATCAGATTGGCAGAAAGATTATCAGTGGAAAATGACAACCCAATGGGTATTGTATTGGAATCGGCATTTGATTCACTTTGGAAGGTTGGATATCATCATCCAATTTCAAGCCTTCATCGCTTTTTACCCTATTTTGAACATTGCTTTGTAGAACCTGTTCGACAGGAAGATCCGAATTTTGACAGTGAAGAAAAAGTGGGACATATTACTGCACCTATGCTGATATTACATGCAGAAGATGATCTAGTGGTACCCTTTGCTCTGGGTAAAAACCTCTTTAATCGTGCTCGTAAAGAAAGACCTTCTTATCTGAGTCCAGTTGAAATGATTAAGTATAATTCAGAACTTGGGTATGGGCACAAGTATATTTGTCGTGATCCAGGACTTGCAGATGTTATTTTCAAGTTTATCACAGATCAGAAAAGTCTAGTTTAATGTATTTTAATTTTTTTCAAATTACATTTGTTAGGTTAATTTCAATATTGTTTAATACCAACAAGAACAAGGGCTAGAAACAAAACACTTCAGTAATGAGTGTGAATGATGATCTCAGGGTTAATTCTAATTAGGTTTTTAAACGGATGCACTGTTTTACAGTAAATATGAAAATTATCTTTTTATTAAAGATCTTGAGAATTTAATTATAATAGAAATAGGATATTACTGTTTATGTAATTGTCAAGGAATATGGTGCTTCATCACTGAGATAATGCAAGAAACATTACATAATAGCAGATGTGAAACCAGCTCCTGGCAAAGAATTTAGTTATGGTGAAACAAGTGATTTTCTTAATGCAATTATTTATGCAATAAAATGGCCATAAGTATTAGGATATAGTAATTGATTTCACTATCCCGGTACAATAAATGTTTTGTGATACACATATTTAAATAAATTTAGTATGATTTTCAACTTCTATCAAGAAAGGATAAAGAAACCATTACTTTTTCTAAGTGTCAAATTAAATATACTTCCTTCTTCTGCACAGCATTTTCAAGTATACTTAAAAAATTATGACAGAAAAGCTTAGAAAGAAAGGATGACTCATGAAAAACATTTCTTAAATGAAGAAAGAATATTAAGAAATAAGTGAGCATAAAGCCAATTTAATGAACTCGTGTATACTTTTCAGATAAGATATTTTCTAAATTTATTAAAAATTAAAAAAAAGGGCAGCAAACTATGTGTAAATTAGTGCTAATAAGAAGTGTTTGATCTTGTCATTTCAATAGGGCACTACTAAGAATCTCCTTGATTCCTAGCCATTTCATATTTTTTACTGCTACTGATATTATGTGAAGTTTACCTTCTGTATGGCCGATTGGTAACTGGAGATTTTCACCTAATAGTTCTTAAGTGTAATGAGGAGTTTTGTATCATACCCTGTCTCAATGATAGACAAATAGTTGAAAAGTTAATGTATACTTTAAAATACTGAGTAGTGATTATATATATATATATCATAAACTATTTGCTGTTGTCCACATCCAGCCTTATGATGCAGCTTATGAAAATAGTAAATTAATAAATACAATTTGTATGATTGAAATGGGGAGGGGATATCACGAGGGGGGAGTGTTTAGTATAGGACTAATTATAATTAGCTTTAAGAATATAATTGTGACTGTAGGATATAATACAAAATATTGTTTCTCCATACATGTGAAATATCCCTTCATTAGTACAAAAAATCTAAAGTAAATTTATACAATAGAAGAATGTACTTGAAGTTAATTTATTTTATGTCTTAGAGCAGGAATCTGTAAGCCATGGTTTAACAAGCTATGCAAGGATCTAAATATAGTGCTTCAGAGAGTAACTGATTTTTTAAAAAAACTCTTGATTAATGAATGAAGTATTTCTAGCTTACAAAGATGCCATATTGACTGTTATCAGTGGACTGGAATTTGCTTCTAATTAACTCTTTCAAGTCACTTCCCCCCTCCCCAAAGGGAGATAAGGCACTATCTTTTACCAGAAGTATATAAGTGAGAGAGATAGTTGCATGTTTTGAAAGAGCACTCTGAAAACATTGAAAATTTGACAAAAATTACTAAATTATTGTGACTTTTACAAGTATTAACCTAAAATCTGTAGTAACGTGAAAGAGTTGAGATGAAATAACCACAAAGAATAGTAGAAATAATGACAGTATTTTTTTATGTTGTATACTACTTCAGATTAATGAAGTTAGAAGTTATAGTTAAAGAATGGAACAGAGGTGTATTAAGAGTGAAAATTTATTATAGTATTCATCACTGAAATGTTGTTTATTTCCTTTTTGAATAAAGTACACATACATAAAACTCATGCTGTATAAGAATTGACAAATACAAATGTGTTTAGTGTAAGAATAGAAATGTATGTTGATAAATCAATACAGTAGGTACCTTTTGAGCTGATGAAGAAGTCATGTATAGGTTCTGGCATTGCTAATTTAGATTTGTATAGATTTTGCAATTTTAATAATTATATACAATATTTGAATCTAAGCTAGTGGATGTAATACAACACACATAATAAACATAACACTATTGTTAGTTATTTGTAGAGCAGTATATGTTGCTATTCACCCAATATTTCTGAATTAAAAAATCCTAAACAGAGCTATAATGGGATCATTTAAAGTTTACACGGTCCATTTGTTTAGAAGTCTTCCAATAAGTTAACCACTCAAAGCTACAAATGTAGAATGCAGAATCAGTAACTACTACTTTCAATACAAGTGCATATACCCTTCATATCTCCATATTAAATGTGTGTGTGCTTCTGTAATTCACAATATTAATAAAAATATGTACATACTTCATACTAATATACATTATTAATGAAATATATACACGCTAAATAGCTCATATTTCTGTATACAAATGTTTTGAATCAATTTTATATGTTATCTGCAAGTTTCTGCATGTACGTTTCATTCACAGTCAAGTTTTTATCACAAAATAGCCTATCACTTTTATTAAGTATCAGAAGTGCGGCCTTTTCTTGTGCCTTCTCGAGATGCAGACTTGCCTCTGTCTTCTGGGATGTCAATTCTTGCAAATATGATAAATGAAATGTTACTTATAAGTTACAGAATTTTCTAGAAATTGGAATTGTAGGACCAAACTAATTATTTTTTTATGTATATTCTGATATTTATCTAAAAACAGTTCATAATATTTTTTCTAATATTTTATATTTTGCATTACAAATCTTTGAATCGGTTCTGTGTTATATGAAAATTATGTAATGAAGTGTATTTGTATTCTGTTCTAGTCGCGTCTTCATTATTGCAACACATATTTGGAATGGAAAAAATGTTATTTGATAAGTGTCTTTCATATATATGTTTGAAATATGTAGTCACTACCTGAGTTAAAATTAATATTATAGAAAATTGTATAAATGTTCCAGGAATTTTGAACCATAGCTTAATAATTTCTGGTAGAGGAAAGTTAACTGAATATATATATAAAAAAAACTTTCTTATTGTATATGAATTCAACTGTGGTACTTTTTTTTATGTAGAAGAATTAATAAATAAAACTTTTTCAAGGAATGTTATGGAATTGAATGGAAAATATATATCTGTTTGTGTATTTTGTTGAGGAAACCTTTATGGAATGAACTTTAATGTAAACAAAAACATTGTTTTATTTGTTAGTATAATTTTAAGGAACTAATTATTATTATTACTTTTTTGCTTACATATTATTGTTACTAATATCTTACTCTGGTGATGTGGTGGTTAAATTTAAATATTTGATGTTTTATAAACATATTTGGCAAGCATAGGAATTTATAAAGAACATAAGGATAGTTAAAAAAATGTTAGTAAAAACTTTATTGCTTGCATGCAGATATATGAGGATAAGAAGCATTAGGTTTCAAACAGTGTCTTATAATTTCTAAGTTTCTTTTCTTTGCCACTTTTACCTAACCTGAGTTTGGCTACTGTGAAGGTAACTGTTATTGAAGTAATTTTCTCTTATATACATGGGTTATTTTTTCCTGAAACTTACTGATCCAAAGAGAAATTTCTGTGTATATCTATACTAATTTTTGAATTATTGTTTTAAGCATGATATTGCATTTTTGGGATGACAAAATAGCATATAAACCCAAATCTAAGTTTAACACAAGCAGGTACTTTACTTGGTTCATGCAGTGATCTGAAGACTTGTAATGCTGTAAGATCTGGATTTCAATACCTTTGGTGGGTGTGACACAGATAGCCCATTGTGTAGCTTTGTGCTTATCAACAAACAAACATAAGAGTGGCCTGAAGTGAAATATATACACAAGTGGTGATGTCTTGAGTTAAAAAATAGTAATTTGAAAATGGTCATGGGTGAAATTTTTACTTTTATTACAGAGGTATAAGAAATATCAATGAAAGACTTGTTTGGACCTTGCAAACATAATCTTTTATCCATAAACATTGTTTGTCTTGATACAAACCTTCACATTTCAGTTTAAAGAACACAATATTTTCTAACTATTTATCAGCCTTTCTTTTATGGCAAGTGATAAAAATCTTAGCTACCTTTTGTGTAATAAAATGTATTATGATTGTACTATAACGTGATTAGTATTTTTTATAAGTAATGTGTAACACACACAGCATTCATAAATAAGACAAGTAAGTATATTGGGCTATTTTTAGTTGAGCTTTTTTTTTAATTAATTGAACTAATAATTGGTATTTACAAAAACCATCTTTTTCATCAAGAGTAAAACTGAGATTTTAATTTTACATCTTAGCTCAGATTGTCTATTTTTCTTGAATTGTTATGCCCCAAATTATGTAGTAAAGAACAATGCAACTGTATGTTTGTGAGGTGGTTTAAATAAATTTACTTACTTCATTGTAAATGCTTCTTCAGTTGTCATAAAATGTTTACACTAAGAGAATGGAATGGAACAAGTTTAATTAACATAAGGGTTCAGGTTTAAAATTTTACCTGAAAATAAAACTAACTTCCAAAAGCACAGATATTAAAAGTATAACATTTTATATGAAATGCTAGAGAGATTAATTGTGTGTGGTACATGTGTTTAACCTTTAGTACCACTTGAAACTGAAGATAAAGAAAATAGGGAATTTACTTGCATGTTTGCTTCTGGTTATTATCAGTGCCATATTGAGCAAGAAAACTTATTAAATTTTGTGGAATTTATCTTAAGTTAATTTTCTAAAGGCTATATAAATGAGAATTGATCATGTTGTATTTTTTATAATAATCATACCTTTCATAAGCATGTATTACTGGGTATGGGGGGGGGCATAGCTAGATACAGGGCTGGGGCACCTTTTTAAGAATTAAAAAAATAAATACTTGTTATCAATTTTCAATCAAACAGTAAAAAAACATTTTGTAAATGTAAAATGATGTGGGGATGGCAGTGCCAGAAAAAAAAAATGCAAACAAGAATATTGGGATGATACAGCTATACATAGATCATCCCCATATTTTTGTTTGCATTCTTGTTGGCACTGCTATCCCTACATCGTTTTACATTTACAAAATGTTTTTTATTACTTGTTTTGTGACATTTTTTCCTCTGACTGAAAGTTAATGTATTCTATAAATGTGGGTAATAAAATTTAATATTAAATGTATTGATTTTTTTTACTCTTTCTATTCATACATAATATAGGGTTTGGCTCCTTAAAGACACCAGTTGTATAATGTACAAAGTATTTAGTATTTTGCATGTTACAGTCATCTAATGTTCACCTGTTATTGGCTAGTAATACCTGTTTCACCATGTGCTTAAGCTTTTTAAAGGAACACTATCGTTTGGTAACGATAACCTCGTTTACACCAAAATTATGATTTTTTTCGAAATTACCACTAGTTATTACGAGTAAGCGATGACATCGTGCACTGCCCAGAAACACATAGAGTGGACTTAGGTTTAAACTGACGTTAGTGATAAAGTAGTTACCTCGATCGAAACAAGAAGAAGAAAGATGAACAGTTTTGTGGATTGGTCTCTTAGCGATTGTTTCTTTCCTTGTTGGGTAGAGAAACAAATGAAAGTGAGTATCAATTATCTTTTATAGTAAAGCTCTCTGTCATTGTTGATTTTTAGCGTGTGTATTTGTATTATGCCTATTGAGTACCTTGGTCATCTCTACGTATAGTCTACAGACTATGATAATCTGTACGTGTAATTTTTAAGGAATTAGAAATATATCTGAGTTTATAGTTATATAAAGTATCCATGATTGTAAGTACAAATATTTATAAGAATTTATTAGTGAAAGGAAAGAAGAATGTAATAATATGTCAGCCACATTATCCGGTGCCGATGAGGACCTTCCCCCAATATTAGGGCTCATCAGACCGGCTGGGATAGGACAGGCATAGTAGTGGCTGTGACATTGTCTAAAATTGTTAGAATTTAGACCCATCCCATTATAATTTCGTAGCTGTGTCCTGAAAAGATGGATTGCAGTGTAGTTAACTGAGCACTTTGTTGGCAATTGTGGAGACTTAACTAAAGTTACACTACTCGTGGGTATCATAATGAAATAAGTTACGCACACACACACAGTCCATGATTAGGGTGAAAAGTGTGATAATACTGGTAGTGTAAAAAGCAGTTTAATAAAACATGCAACGTATCGTGATTGTTATATCTTCTTTTTTACACACTGATAGTCTAAAAAATTTATAAATCATCTAAAACGAAATAATCTAGTCTTGAAGTGATAATGTAACTAAATAACGTGTGTTTCGCACTAGCTGGATTGTGTTCTGACAAATGTCATGCGATAGAAATCCAAAATCGGAGGAAGGAGAACCTGTGCTTTGGTCAGTAGTAAAAACTCCTTTAACGTGTAACAGTAACCAAATATCAGTTACTTTCAATAGTATATGATTGAAGACTATACACCTACAGTCTGACAGTATCTTCTTGTGCATTAGTTCAAGATTGATAGGCCAGGTGGTTAGGGCGCTCGACTCGCAATCTGATGGTCGCGGGTTCGAATCCCCGTCCCACCAAACATGCTCGCCCTTTCAGTCGTAGGGGCGTTATAATGTGACGGTCAATCCCACTATTCGTTGGTCAAAGAGTAGCCCGAGAGTTGGCGGTGGGTGGTGATGACTAGCTGCCTTCCCTCCAGTCTTACACTGTTAAATTAGGGACGGCTAGCGCAGATAGTCCTCGTGTAGCTTTGCTTGAAATTCAAAAATAAACAAACAAATCAAGATTGACACTTTACATAATAAATTTTAAAAATACATGCACCTTTTTGGCACAAAATTTAGTAGAAAAACAAAATTAAACGTAGACGTTGACCAATGCGAAATATCTGTCATTTCTACATCTATGTGAGAATTCTCGTCAACATCGTCAAGATATATTGTTGTAAGCTATATTTTCAATGTTTCAATTTAGTTGTTATCTAGAGCGTATATGGTATTAAAGTTGCCTATAACGAGATTGTTTTAGATGACGTCAAACAAATCTAGTAAATTTGACGAATATCTAGAAGCGAGACATCGGATATAAATATAAGTGGGCCAGTCAGTAGTAAACTAAGAGTGAAGCGTTATGTAGTTTTGTTTTTCAGTTGGTATAATGCCAGTCAATCAGTGAAGTATTTAGTTTTGTTAAAGTGTTTATATCACTGTTATTTACCGCGTAGATTCAGTTACTTGATCGATTACCTGTGAAACTTAACAAGTAAGTTTATTTTTATGTTAGTCGTTGTACCATTAGGGAGATATTTCCGTTTGAACATCATTTGCAGAGCTAGGCCAACAAGTTTCAACATTATACAATTACAAGTGAAGGAAATAGGTAGAAAAATTAAGTAAAATTTAAATTTTCCTTAATGGGTTCTTTTAAATTATGTGGTGAAAATAATTCAAAAATCCAGTTCAATAAACTATAATGAATGGCCTTATTTCTTCCTATAATCTACAAGCATGAACACTTGCACACTGTTATAAATTGTTATAAGCCTATATTATTGATAACATCCAAACCTCTAACGATACTAGAACCAACGCAAAATCAACTTGTAAAAACTAACTCAATAAGTGCGATAGGAAACAAAGATTCAAATACTTCACGAAAACACACTGGCTGATTTAACTCTTTATCTAGAAATAACGATTTCCTTGATCAACTCTACAAACTATCTTATATTTATGATCCAAGCCTTGTTCTAGATATTTCATCAGATCTCTGGATCATTACATCATCAACAATCCACATCTCCCTCTAGCTAACAAAAACAATTTACAACATTATAAATACAACTTAGAACAATAGAATCAACTTTCATGAATAACAACCGTTGCCGTATGAATTAAATAAAGTAAATGAATTGAAATTATTATAATTTTTTCTTTAATTCATTTACAGATCTGATTTTTAAAGTGAGGATTAATAACACAATATCATGTATATATTATTATCGCTGATTATTTATTTATAATTATTTTATTCTCCAGTCATCGCAGAAGAACTAGCGATCTATCAAACTAGTTTTATTCTATAAGCGGGTCGAGCAACCATAGTGTCAACGGGAGAAACTACGTTAGTAATTCTTAGAACTTATGAGTGAAAGTAAAGAAAAAAAAGTTAGAAATAAACGAGGAATATGACAATTTGAAAACACCTAGCATAGCCTGGTGGTTAGGGCGCTCGACTCGCGGGTTCGTATACACACGGAGCGTTATAATGTTACGTCAATACCACTATTCGTTGGTATAAGAGTAAAAGAGTGGGCGGTGGGTGGTGTTGACTAGCTGCCTTCCCTCTAGTCTATCACTGCTAAGTTAGAGATAGCTAGCGCATATAGCCTCAAATAGGTTTGCTCGAAATTCAATGTATACTTCAAGACTGGAAATGGTTATATCAAATAAAAAATAAAGTTTTGGATAATTAGGATACTGGCATTTATGTTTTTGCACAAGTATTGAACGTTTATTTGTTGATGTTACTTCTAGACCAATACAGTGAAAGCGTAAAGAAATTCACACATTAGTTTAATTATATCCGAGGTATTTGAGTAAAAATGCACAGTAATATTAGTGAGAAATTTGATTCTAACTAGGTATGCTACTTGACTAAAAGAACTGTAATTCATCACATAAAAATGCAAAGTAATATTAGTGAGAAATTTGATTCTAACTAAGTATGCTACTTGACTAAAAGAACTTTAATTCATCACATATAACTTTTTTTTAAATGTTACTGTTCACTTGCATGATGCAACTTTAATTTTAAATAATCGTATAGTATAAGCAGCTTGATTATAAATGCAAAGTGCTGTGTATGGTATACACTTGACTTCAGTACGTCGTGATTTTAAAACGGAATCAAGAAAAACATTTTTTAACCGGGAATATCAGATAATATTACCAAGTTTAATCATAGACAATTTCATCATCCTTGTTTGTATCCCATTTTGTGATCCTCAAACTCATTGTTACCTTATATAAGAATTATGTTTTGTTGTGATATTTCAGGTGCTTTCATTAATGTTACAGATAAGAATAGTAACTACAATAGCAGGAGGAACGACTGAAAGTGTTATTCGAAATTAAATCTGAATTTCTGACTCTGATTGAGTTAGAAAAAATCGCCCAAACGCAATATAAAGCTAATCTTTATTTACAACAAAACAACTAAAGCCGACAGGTGTTCAAAAACACGGATTTGTTTGTTGAATTTCGCACAAAGTTCTCGAAGACTGACTGCGACGTTTAGATCTAGAGAGCTCTCACCAGAAGTTGTGAAGGAAATCTTGAGAACCTGAATCAGACTTGGAGAACATAACGACTATATACAAAATTTAGCAGCGTTATCTCTTCCAGAGCGCATGCGTTACTCATTCCATTGATCTTCCCAACAGCCAAAATAAGGATAATATATCCTCGGGGTTACACAAAGCTCTCCACGTAGCTGAAACCTCTACAGAAACTACATAATATTTTTAATGAACATAATTCTACAGCATCTTCCACGAGAAAACTTTACGTCACACCAAAGGGGACTAATATATAACAATAAGTAACCAAGGCAGCTAAAGGTTTATCCAAATTTCAGAACCAATCTCTGTTGTTAAACCTATACACATATATATGTGAAAGATGATTTTTTTATCATGCGAACAAAAAAATATTCACCTGTTTAAACTAAATGGAAAATGCTTTGTTTGTAGTTAGGCACAAAGCTACGCGATGGGCTATCTGGGTTATGCCCACCACGGGTATCGAAACCCGATTTTCAGTATTATAAGTTTCAGACTTATTGCTGTGCCACTGGGAGAGGGTAAAAGGAAAGAAACATTACTATGGATACTATATTTTTACTTTCCTTTACCTTAAGCTTATCCTCAAGCCGACTTTTAATTTTAAATGT